TACATATTTGATATTATTATTGGAACAGCAATACCAGTAATTGTATGAGGTACTTATATTTTGCTTTGTTCATCCAGTAAAGGGATTTTGTGTAAACCTTTCAGTAAAATTATTGTGTCAGAGGAAAATGAGAAACAGTATTACTCATTATTCATGCAATCAATATACATTTATTGGGGGTGACTGTGTGTTGGTTATCAGTCTAAATGCTGGAGATGCCATAAAAAGAAAAAGAACTAGAACAGCTTCCTGCCTTCAAGAGGCACACATTCCAGATGAGGAAACAGATACAGCAATAACTACAATGAAATGTTACAATAGATAAGGTAGAGACTTTAAAGAGGCTGTGGAGTATATCACAGGGAATTATGAATTCTGACCAGAGGTCCATACTATCCTGATGTCCTGTTTGAGCTGAGCTGAACTGTGAAATATCAGGATGAAGCACACATTAGGCAGATGTAAATGAATAGGCAAAGGTATAGCAGTCAAAAATGCCATGGCACACTTAGGGATTGATGAGTGTTTTTTTTTTTTTTTTTTTTTTTTTTTTTTTTTTTTTGCAACTCCATCGGTAAATCTGTCAAGCTGTCTGATGTCAAATGTTGAATTTTCATGGACTAGAATGAGTTAAAGAAATTTGAATGCTTTTTGAGCAGTAGAATTTTACAAAATGAAGGGCCAAGGAAGGCAATGAGAGAAAGAGACAAAATGCTGCATGGAATAAAACTGTCATTCTCATCATGACTCATCTGCTAACTTATGAAAATACACTTACATCAAGAAATACCAGAAAATTGCTCACTTCACATGCTTACGGGTAGATTGAACCTAATTTTATGGCATTAAAACCAATTTTCTGCTGAGAAAACATGTCACAGAGGATTACATGAACCTTTATAATTATTACTAATATTTAATACTTTGATGTCACCTTTCATCATGAGATCAGTCCCATACACACAGGAACAGATAAGCTCCAAGGAAACAGAGATAATATTAATACACTAAGTCACAATGCTTTCCTCTCTTCCATATTCCAATGGCTTTCTAGCTATGTGTTTCTCTCGCTGTTAGAAGTTAGTGGAAGTTGGCTGCGCGTGGTGGCTCATGCCCATAATTCCATCACTTTGGGGTGTCAAGGCAGGAAGATCATGAGGTCAGGAGTTTGAGACCAGTTGGCCAACATAGTGAAACCCCATCTCTACTAAAAATACAAAAAAAAAAAAAAAAAAAAAGGTGTGGTGGCGGGCACCTGTAATCCCAGCTACTGGGGAGGCTGAGACTGAATCACCTGAACCTGGGAGGCAGAGGTTGCAGTGAGCTGAAATCATGCCACTGCACTCCACGCCAGGTGACAGTTAGAGAATCCATCTAAATAATAATAATAATAATAATAAGGTAGTGGATATAGTTGTAAAGCAGTGAATGTTTAAAAAATTAGCTCCTACTACAAGAAGTCTTAGGTTACAGTACGGGCCATATCTTTCTGTTCACAGCTCTCCCTGCAAGATCAGCTTTTGACATATCAGTTCTCCTACTCCTTGGCTTCTTTGCCTGCTTATCTCATCCTGACATATCAGGAGTGGGCCGTGTCTTCATGGATTCTTTGACTTCCACAAGAGACTAACAAGGCATCATCATTTTTATCTACATCTTCATCATTGTTGTCATCATTACCCTTCCAACTACAAGCCCCCTACTGCTGCTTATGAACTAAGCACTCTATGCACTATTCTACTATTCTAAGAACTTTATATAAATAAAATAAAAATTTATTATATATATAATAAAAATTATACCATATTAGTTAATTTCATACCAATATTATAAGGTAGTGCTATCCACTAGAACTTTCTGCAATGATGGAAATGTTCTATATCTGTGTTGTCCAGTATGGTAGCCACTAGCCACATGTAGCTATCGGGCAGCTGAAATATGGTTAATGCTACTGAGGAACTACATTTTTCTTTTATTTAGTTTTAATTAATTTCACCGACATGGCCACATGGCTAGTGACTATTATATTGGACAACACAGTTAGAGCCTCTGGGGGTTTATTGTTATCTTTTTAAAACAAACCTCTGTTTTCATCATCAGCATGAAGTTAATAAGGACTAGTGTGAGTGACTGATTCTGAAATATATTCTTGAAGCTAAAAATACAGATGCTTCTTGACTTCCAATGAGGCTTATGCTCCGATAAACTCATCATAAGTTGCAAATATTGTAGGTGCATTTAATACACCTAAACTACCAAGCATAATAGCCTAGCCTAGCTTACCTTAAACATGCTCAAAACACTTACATTAGCCTGCAGTTGGGGAAAGTTATCTAACACAAAGCTATTTTATAGTAAAGTGTTGAATATCTCATGTAATTTATTGAATACTGAACTGAAAGTGAAAAACAGAATGGTTGTATGGTCCATAGTCAAAATACAGTTTCTACTGAATGTATATGGTTTTTGCACCATGGTAAAGTATAAAAATATACGTAGAAGCATCATAAGTTGAAGATCATCTGTGTTTCAAAAAGAATTCCCATATTCTACATTTGGAGAGCTTTTAGTTCACCCTTCCCCCACTCTGTTAAAATTTGATTCAAAAGAATTCTGTGGAATATATAGGGTAACATGAAGTCATTTCTAAATAAAGAACATTTACAAAAGATGTGGATGATGTCTTAAACCTCATTGTAGTCCAGTGAAGTAGTGGTTGTCAGCCAATGAGTTCCAGTGAGTACCCAATGAGTCCTTGTCAGCACTGGTAAGCACTAGTCCCTCTATTGGAAATTGAAATTCCAATTATTGATTTTTCAAAGGAAGACATTCTCCCCCACTTATGAAGTGGAACAATGAAAGAGGGCTTTCTGTTTTGGGTGACCAGGGAGAAACAGAGTCTTCACACAAAGTCTTGGTTCATATTCAGCTGTCCTCTCCCTGAAACCACATCCCCAGGATTTATCTGGTTTGTATGTGAAAATATGGGAATACGCTTCACAGCGAAGAAACTGATTGGATGACTTAATTACATTTCCGCTTAGTCCACCCTGTAACTTAGACTGTTATCACTGTTAGAGAGAGGGAACTTAAGTAGCCCTTGGTTTGAACCATCTGTCGCGAAATGTGACATATGTTTGCTTTGTTTACTCAACAACCAAGTGTAAACTGATACACTGAACTAGAGATCAGTGAATGGTGTGGCTGTGGGTGTGTTTGTGTTGGAGGAGGGGTGTCTGATGAGGGCGTCGGTCTCCTCATACCTGTCCTGGAGGAACACGCGTACTACAAACGAGGGGTGCGGATCCGTAGGATGTCCCCCCAGGGTTTGGGGCGCGCCTTGAGGCGATGACCCTCTTTGGCGACTCCACACAATGCTCAGCTCGCCCGCAAGCAGCCGCTGCAGCCTAGGGGCGCTCCTGGCTGATGTCTGGTTGAATGGAGAGCGGCCCAACCCTCCTCCTTTCTCCTCTTCTTCTCCCCGCCCTGACACCCGGGCCTCAAACTTCAAAGCCCGTGCCCTTTTCAATTAACCCCCCTGGATCAAAACCAGCCATTCTTTTCTGTCCTCCGCGGTGGCCCATTGTCTGGCGTAATAGGTTTGGAGATTTGACAGCTGGGCGCACACAGATTTGATTCAAACTCGGTCTCCCCGAGAGATGAACTTGGACATCAGCAAAGATCCCAAACACAACCCCTGAGCCATCGGACGCCCACCCAGTACTGCAGCTGGCTCCCAGACCCGGTCTCCGGACCCAGTGTAGACTTTGGTGTCCCTAGCGCCCCCCGGCGTGCAGGAAGGGGAGCGTGTGTCCGGGATGAGGGGCTGGAGGCGAGCAGCACGACTGGGAACCAGCGGTCCCAGGTGTTGGGGCGAAAGGCTGTGTACACGTTGGGCTTTTTTTTTTTTTTTTTTTTTTTTTTAAATTTACTCTCGAAACAGCCAAGATGGAGGTCAGCTTATAAATTTCCTAAAGCCAGGTCTCGCCGGGTTTAAATGCAGTGGGCTAGGGGCTCCGCTTTTGTCTGCTTGCCAGAGCCCAAGGAGAGAGGTCGAGACTGCGCGTGCATGCGTGCATGTGAGCGCGGGTGTGCGCGCTGGCGTGGACTAACGGGTGGGCGCATCCCGGGATCGCCGCTCCGGCGTCCTGGGTCTGAGTGTGTCTTCTACGTACCAAGTCTTGAGTCACAGCTACTAGTGACGTGGGGGGAAAACTTTGTGTTTTCGGAAGAAGGATCTGGCTCGATTGCCCTAAGAAGAAAGAGCCCTTGTGCGTTGTGCCCTTCTGTGTGTGTGTGTGTGTGTGTGTGTGTGTGTGTGTGAGAGAGAGAGAGAGAGAGAGAGAGAGAGAGAGAGAGAGAGAGAGAGAGTGTCTGGAAGTACCCGCGGCCGGCTGCAGAACGCTGCGTGTCCTGTGCGCGCGTGCGGGTTCGGGCGCGGGTCCCACCGCAAGCGATCGTGTGCAGCTGCAGCGACCGGGAGGGCGAGCTTCGGAGAGGGCTGGCGTTGCGGGGCGAGGGGAGCAGGAGCAGGCCGAGGGTCCGCTGGCTAGAATAAATCTGGCCTCGGAACACGCCATCCTCGCGTCGCTTCCAATAACCACTAATATCCCTAACGAGTATCCGAGCCTGAAGCTCTGCTCGGAAATCATCCTGACCCAGCTCGGCCTTTGGAGCTCTTAAAGATTACCGCATCTTTTTTTTTTCCCTAGCGCGGAGAAAGTGAGCCGGGAAAGGGAAGGAGGGGGCGGGGACACCACCCCCCGAAAGAATAAACAAGTAAATAAACAAACTGGCTCCTTGCCGCAGCTGGACGCGGTCGGTTGAGTCCAGGTTGGTGGCATTTGAAGAGTTTTTTCGTTCTGTTTGGGAACCCATGGCCGTTTCCCGTCCCTCATCCCCACTCCTACTTCCCCTTCCCCCTTCCACCTCTTTCGGTTTGCAGGCATCTCCCAACTTTGGAGCCCGGGGGGGGCGCTCGTGGCTCCGGGCAGCACCTGCCGGGACGCTCGGGGACTGCGGACCGGCGCGCTTGCCCGGGGTGGGGGTGCGGAAGCGCCCGAGTCCTGGGCACCGGGCGAGGGTGTGAGAGGCGCGGATGCCCGTGAGGGAGCCGAGGACGCACGGAGGGTAGGGGCGCACCAACCGGGTTTCAGCCCCAGTCCGGACATCGGTTCCCGCTGGCTTGGCGGCCTCGGGAAGAAGAGTCCCGGGGAGGGGGGCGGGGTGGCCACAGGGGCTAGCGATTGGCGATCTGTGTGGGGAGGATTAGCGGCTGAGGGAGCTCACTGGCGGGCGCGAAGAGGGGGCGGCCAACTTCCCGGGAAAGGGGGCTCTTTCGGCGCCAGGGCTGGCTAGGGAGCTGCCGCCGCCGCCACTGAGGGCTCGGACTCCAGGCAGCCGCTGGCTTCGCTCACCGCGCTCGGAAAGTACCGTTTATTTATTTATTTGCTTGCGTTCAGCCTCTCGGGTTTCATCAATAGACACCCCCGTGGACTTTAAGAACCCTCTTCAGACCTCTGCAGCCCTCACCCTCATCCCCGTGTCAACGGCCCCTGGAAAACACGCACATGCACCCCGACCCGGGTGGGGGTGGGTTCTCACCCCGGCGTTGGAAAGTCCCCAAAGGAGGGAATGGGGGAGGGGAGAGGGGCAGTGGGGGGAGTCTCCGGCGCTCTCGGCTCTCCTCTCAAAGCGCGCTCTCCATTCCAGGTTGGGTCGGACCTGAACCCCTAAAAGCGGAACCGCTTCCCGCCCGCGCGCCCGCCGCCCTCCCGGAGCTGAGTCGCCCGCGGCGGTGGCGGCGCCGGAACCGGAGTTTCCTCTTTCACTGGATGGAGCTGAACTTTGGGCGGCCAGAGCAGCACAGCTGTCCGGGGATTGCTGCATGCTGAGCTCCTTCGGCAACATCCAGCAGCGACTCAGGATTTTTTTAGGGGGGTGGGGACCAGCCGCGCGCGGGCACCATGTTCCTGGCGACCCTGTACTTCGCGCTGCCTCTCCTGGGTAAGTCGAGGCCCGCCGCGGGCTTTCTTACTCGCTGAGTCTTTCATAGGGTCGCTTGCAGCAGCCCACCCCGGCCCCCGCACCAAAATTGGGGCGCGGGTGCCGTGGATGTGGGAGGAAGAAGTTTCGTTTTGGGGAGGAGGATTGCGAATCCCCGGACTAGGGAGGCGGTGGCGGCGCGGCGCTGGCCGAAGCTTTTCGGGTTTGGTTTTGGTTTCCTGTGGTTTTTAATGACCCAGCTCGGTGGGGGACTAAGTAGCCCTCCAGCCCAGGGCCCTGCACACCCAGCGAGTCCCCGGGAGCTCGCGGAGCCGCGGCGGGCAGGTGGAGGTGGGGAGCATTGGGGCCGGGAGACCAAACTTGGAAGAGAAAACTTTTCCCCGGAGTAGCTTCTGGGCGCTCCCCGCCCGGCCGACCGCTGACCACTGCTGGCCTGCTCTACGGCCGGCGCGGCGGGTTCCAGTCTACCGCCGCGCTTCTCCTCGGAAAGCCCCTGAGTTTTAGCCGGGCGGAGCGGGTGGCTGGAGCCGGGGGTGGCCCTGGAGTCCGGGTCCTCGCTCGGGCCAGGATGCCCCGGGGCGGAAGGCAGGCATGCGCGGTGGGCAGGGCAGGCTCTGGAGCAAACCCTTAAAGCCCGAGAGCTCAGCCTGCGCCACCTTTCCTCGCGGGCCGGGGAGGAGGGGAGAGGAGCTGGAGTTCCAGGGGGTGGGAAAATGGACTCCCGGATGGTCGAGAGGTGGACCCGCTCCCTGAGCAAGGCGTCCCCGCGGGCTGGTCAAGCATCCCTGACCTGGACGCGCGCCCTCGCCCGAAGCAGGGAAGTCCCGGGTCCCCGCCCGCGGCACTCAGGCTCCCTCCCCTCCACCCCGCAGACTTGCTCCTGTCGGCCGAGGTGAGCGGCGGAGACCGCCTGGACTGCGTGAAAGCCAGTGATCAGTGTCTGAAGGAGCAGAGCTGCAGCACCAAGTACCGCACGCTGAGGCAGTGCGTGGCGGGCAAGGAGACCAACTTCAGCCTGGCATCCGGTCTCGAGGCCAAGGATGAGTGCCGCAGCGCCATGGAGGCCCTGAAGCAGAAGTCGCTCTACAACTGCCGCTGCAAGCGGGGTATGAAGAAGGAGAAGAACTGCCTGCGCATTTACTGGAGCATGTACCAGAGTCTGCAGGGTACGCGCGGAACCTCCCCAGCCCACCCGGCGTCCTTCCCAGAAGGCAGGGGGCCCCTTCGTCCTCGGGCCAGCTGATCTCATTCTCCACTCACTTCTCCTCAGCTGCGGAATGAGGACCTTTCATTGGCCCCCAGGGACAATGGCAGCTGGTGTTTGTTGAGCTGATCAGCATTGTTGGGCCTGGTTGTTGGAAAACTCAGGAGGAGGTGGAGGTGGGGGGGCACCCTGGGACCCCGCTGACCTCTCTGAAACCTGGTCAGAGCATGGGAGGAGGATCCCCCTAAAGGCGCCCAAGGAACCCACAAGTTCTTTCCAAGGAAAGCCAGCCAGAGGCTTTCGCTGGCCTCAGAATAATAATAGGAGTGCTTGCCAGCGTCCCTGCATCTGGTCTGGACTTTCCCCCTGTCCCATTTCCTTTAACCTGCTCTGACATAAGATAAAGAATTATAAAAGGTCCAGGAGAATCCATTCTATCTTCACCCCATCAAACGTGATCAGAGGCAGATGTGTGAAAAACCGTTTGCCATAATCTTGGATTAGCGGAGTCTTGAACCAGCTGGTTTGGTTCAACCTTGGTTACCACAGAAGTAGCTCAGGGAGAGAAAGATCCACTTATCCCACCATCCAGTCCAATGAGAATGTTTTGGTCCTTGTAAGCCAGAGGTGGTTCGTGTCTGTAAACCTAACACAAACACTTGGTGTGTTCATTCTCGACTGAGACTCACACTGGAGATTTGTATTACACAGATGTGACCTGTCAGCTCCCACTTCCTCCAGAGCCTATCAGTGGAAGTCTCTTTCAGAGGGGCTGGTTAATAGCCATGGTACCTGCTTTCCAACTGTATGCCAGGTTTTGGGAGTAAGCAGAAATGTGGGTCTCTCCTGGGTCACCTTTCTTCTATTGGCTCCTGAAGGCAAACAGGGCTTGTGACGTCACCGGCTCTTTCCTCTCTGATTTCTATCCCTTTGCAAAGAGTGGGAGAGTTTTCTGGCAAGATTGGGCTGAGTTGTTCTCCAGTGTTTTCATGGCACTCTGGGGAGAACAAGGACAACAAAGGCAGAGAGAAGGAAAAGAAACCATAGCCAAAGGGATGCATTTAAAACCAAAGTTTTTGTTACACAATCATAACAATTAGAATTCAGATTCAGCAGCAAAAACCTGCTTGAAATATATCTGTTTTTCAGATCTGAGCCCGATCTTTCTGTTGTTTTTAGGAAATGATCTGCTGGAGGATTCCCCATATGAACCAGTTAACAGCAGATTGTCAGATATATTCCGGGTGGTCCCATTCATATCAGGTAAGCAGATTTATACTTCCACTCTGATGCCTTTGTGTGCTTGAATTCGTTGGCTTGCATTGTCTTTGGCACAGTGTTTCTGGGAAATGAGAAATAGGATGATGATAATGAAGAGGCAGAATGCCTAGAGATGATTGTATGACTTGAAAGTAATTCTAAATGAAGTAATGTGATGTGGTGGTTTGGTAGAGGTTCGAGGGAGGTGACTTGGCTGAGGTGTTTTTTTTTTTTTTTTTTTTTTCCATGTTAAAATATGATTGGCCAGCTCTTGCAGAGGGAGTGCCACTTCTGTCTGTAGGTGGCAATCGTATTCTCTTCTTGCTGCATACCTTCATGGTGCCTCCCTGGAAATGGAATCTATTCAGATTATGCCACTTACTTTACAAGAGGCCTGAAGATAATCTTAGATTGTTGAAAAATTTGGGATGAATTTACTTGTCTGCCTTTGATTTAAAAGATTAAGCTCTGCCATTTGTTAACAATTCTTTTGCTTCTATTTTTTCCTGAGCAAATGTGTGCGTTTAAAAGAGAATGTACTCCTACCCCAACAGCCCTTTTAAATGTAGTCTCACTTCCAATGGTTTGTTTTGTCTCTCTTCACAGTTCTCAGGGTGGTTTGGAAATAAACTTAGTTTTAGAATTAAGGTTTTCATAACATCTGCAATCAGACAGCCCATAAATAAGCAAGGCAGTAATTTATCTTTATGACATACAGATTCCAGACTAATGTTGTCTTTATTTACAGTTTAGACATTTTCTCAGGTATATATAGCCACCACAAATTATATATCTCTCAGTGGTTAAACGTGATGGTTAATGTTGAATTTGATTCTATGAGATTATGGTTTGTAACTGGTGAGAGTGTTCTGGTGTTCTAAATGTTTTTATGTTTTTTGTTTGCTTTTTTTTTCCCCCCCAGAAAAGCCACCGAATCAAGGGAGTGTGTAAATACTGATACTTTATTTGGGTGTATTATACATGCATTCATCCATTCCATTGAGCACCTACTATGTTCTAGCTATTGTGGTTTTGGCAGTGAGCCAGTCATCACTCTTGCCCTCATGAATCTTAGAGATAGGCAGCAACTGACATTTATTAAGCCTTTATTATTTGCCAAGAACTCTTTTGAGAGTGTTATATCACTAATTTATGTAATCATCAAATGCTTCTTAGGTATTATTATTTCCATTTTGTAGATGATTAAATTGAGGCATAGTGAAGTTAGGAAACCATCCCCGAATCATAAGGCTTAAATGGTAGAACCAGAGTTGAAACCCAGATTTGTTAGATTCTAAGCTTTTGTAACATCTACCCTTTGCTACTCAGAGTGTGGTTCTTAGATCAGCATCATTGACATTGCCAGGGAATTCATTAGAAATACAGGATTTCATTTTAACTACTGAACCAGAATACACAATTTAACAAGATCCCTGGGCTGGGTGCTTCATATGCACATGAAGCTTGAGAAGCACTCCTCTACATTATTCTGTCTTTTCCTTCAGAGGAAAAGTGTGTGTGTGTCTGTTTCAGCATAAGATGTAAGGGTACAAGTTTAGTATAAGAAGAATTCAAATGTTTCCCTGAGTAATGCTGATAATTTTCACTCCATGTCACTTCTAGTGCTTTCTGTCCCCTTGATCCAGCCAGGACAGTGGTTTAAGCAGTGGAGAGGAGATGTACAGACAAACGTTTGTGACCACCTAAGCTCTCCTGGGAGCAGTTTTGTAGAAAGTATGATGGGGTGTGGCCAACGGGGTGCCAGAGGCAAACCTGACCTTCATCCTGCTGTTGAGGGACAATGCCTCTTGCCTACTGCCTGCCCTGTGGACTCCTCGGTCTTTGTACTGATGCCTAGAAGGGTATGAATCTCTCTATGGTCATTGATAAGTGAGAAAGCAGGCAAGGAAGAAGGGTTTTAATTTCAGAATTTATGTAAGCAATGGGTTTTTTGGTTTTTTTGGAGACAAAGTCTCACTCTGTCACCCAGGGCCCAGGCTGGAGTGCAGTGGCACGATCTTGGAGCACTGCTACCTCTGCCTCCTGGGTTCAAGTGATTCTCCTGCCTCAGCCTCCAAAGTAGCGGGATTACATACATCTGCCACCATGCCTGCCTAATTTTTGTATTTTTAGTAGAGAAATACATGTCACCATCTTGGCCAGACATGTAGAGAAATACATGTCACCATCTTGAACACCTGACCTCAAGTAATCTGCCTGCTTCTGCCTCCCAAAGTGCTGGGATTACAGGCGTGAACCACTGTGCCTTGCTGCAATGGGGTTTTTAATAGCTTTAAAAAAAAACTTTTTTAAAGACAGCGTCTTGATCTGCTGCCCAGGCTAGAGTGCAGTGGCCTGATCACAGCTCACTGATGCCTTGAACTCCTGGGCTCAAACGATCCTCCTACCTTAGTCTCCCGAGTAGCTGGGACTACAGGTGTGCCACTACACTGGCTAGCAATGGAGTTTTTTTTTTTTTTTTTTTTTTTTTTTTTTTTTTTTTTTTTTTTTTTTTTTTTTTTTTAAGACAGAGTTTTGTTCTGTCACCAGGCTGGAGTGCAGTGGTGTGATCTTGGCTCACTGCAACCTCCACCTCCTGGGTTCAAGCAATTCTCCTGCCTCAGCCTCCCAAGTAGCTGGGACTACAGGTGTGTGCCACCATGCCCAGCTAATTTTTGTATTTTTTAGTAGAGATGGGGTTTCACCATGTTGGCCAGGATGGTCTTGACCTCTTGACCTTGTGATCCACCCACCTCAGCCTCCCAAAGTGCTAGGATTACAGGCATAAGCCACCGCCCCCCGGCCCAATGGAGTTTTTTACACTCATTTTCCCTCTCAGAGTAGCTCTTTCATTGGTATAATGAGGCAATCGGAGTAAATAATCTGCAGTCGTAACAGTCCTTGGATCTGAGGAAAGGTTGGGCTCATCTCTAGAATTCCTCCATGGTGCCCTTATATCACCGTCTCCATCCTTGCAGTCATTTCTATTCTTAAAGAGGCCTTGTCATTCTCAGATACCACTGATTTGTCTGAATTTATGAGTACTGGACCTTCTTCTGCACCGGCCGAGTTTCACTTACGCATTCCTTGGATCCCATTCTCAGGCCAGGTTTCTTTTCATAGCAAGTCTGATCTGGAGTTTGTGAGCCCTGTCCTACCTAGAACCCCCAAATCATAATGAATTGGCCAGAGCCAGAAAGACCTTGTCTAGAGCTCCATTTTCTATCTTAAGGGCATTGGCTTTAGGTTCCAGCACTAATGAGCTTTGACCTCTGACAGTGACTGTGTTCCTTAAGTGGGATAGTAAAGCCAAATGGAAGCTTGAGAGGCTTTAAGTCGTTGAATAATGCATATTATCCAGTTTGGCCTTTGTAGGATGGAAAAGGATGGAGGAAGGAGATGATAAATGTTGCTTTTCACGATTCGAATCTGAATTTTCCAGAATATCTCTTCTGTCTTGAAAATTTATCTGAGGAAACCAGGACAACATTGTCTCTGCTTTTCACAGATATGGTAGCAATCAGTTTCCATATTTGGATTTCTCTGCCCAACATGAAGAGCATGTTTATCCACATACATTAAGGGTGAGCTGAATCTTCCCACTGAACAAGACATGTTTGATATACTTGTGTTTCCATTTTCCTTGGATTCCTCAAACCCACAGTCTTTTTAGCTGTTGTTTGCTTGCTAACCACATAAAAGGCCTTACTGAGGTATTATCAGTGGCCCTTTGGGAAAAAGAAGAACAAAAACAAGGTGGAATGTACAAACCATTCTCTCTGTTTTGAAGCTTGAACTGCAGAAGGGAAACCAAGTAGCCAAGTCAGGAGAGAATTGCAGAGGGAGAGTGGAGGGCTGCTCTCCAGAAACCTGAGAATGAAAGCTTTTGGCCCCTGAGGCACGATTAAGGGCTTGAGGAGGTGCGGTTCCTGTGGGGTGAGGCTAGTGTGGTTTTAGGGGCCTGGAACATGAAGTGAGGAGGAGGACACACAGGAAAAAGTAAGCCAGTGCAAGAGGATGTCGGTGGAGGGGCGGGAAAACAGAAGAATGTCCTGGGATCCCAGAGGGCAGTGCTGTGTGGGTGCTCAGGGGCTCAGAGGCGGAAGCCTGCACGCATATTGCACTGTTTCCCGTCTGATCTCTCCCAGCCAAGCTCTCTGCTCTTGCACCTCTGTTCTGCCTCCGCTTTTCTTCCTCACAAAAGTTCAAGACACAGCGAGAAGTAAATAGCGATTTGAAAGAATGATGAACCTGTTGGCAATTTATTTTTTTTTAAATTCTTTGGAGGGGGTAGAGCAAAGCTGTGAGAAATTTTGAAAATACAGTGAGTGCCAAGAAAAGCCAGAGGATGGGGATCAGAGGGAGGTTAGAAGCACCTCTTCAGCAGCAAGGTTCAAAACTATTGATTGAGAGACGACTTTTGTAGAGAAGTAAGGAGATGCTAGGCTTTCCTTAAAATACAATCACAGTTGATGATATGGCATGCAAGAATCAAGTGGATAGATTGTAGGGAAAGAGTAATGTTAGGTTTTGAACATCCTGATTTGCTGAAAGAATATGTCTCAGCTTCTGGTTCTCCTCATTTTCCTACCAAGTCTTAGGAGTGGCTTTGACCTTTCTGGGAAGCCTGAGGATCTGCAGATTGGTTCTTCAGTAATTGGAAGTGGTTTGCTCCGGGATGAGATATGTCTAAACTCTCCTTTGAGTCTTGCCCCTTTTTTTTCTGAGTGATTCTGTGAATAATTAGCCATGTTTAGCATTTCTGTTCAAATGCACCATCATATATATATTATTATTTTAAAAAGTTATTACAAAGTTTACATGTTGGAGAAGAGCCTTGCAACATCACCTGCCTTCTTGTGAGATCATGACAAGAGAGAAAGCCTTGTAAATACCAGCTATTAGGGGTCGTGGTGGTCCTTTCCTTGCCACTTAGCTCATCATGGTGTTTCTATATTTGAGGACCCCCATTAGTTTCCTGTTATCTACTCTGGCATATGGTA